TGCAGCATGAAAATCCCACTCAGGTCAGTGTGGATTACGCCTACAAATGCGTAGTATAGAAAAAATGATTTTTTTCAAACCTCTACAATTTTAAGGCACAACCACTGAAATAACACTATTGCGAGTTTCAGCCCCTTGGTATCTTGTCAATGTTGGATGAAGAGTGTATTGTACCAAAGGCTACCGATTTGACCTTGGCTCAAAAGCTTGTTGAACAGCATTTGGGCAAACATCCGAACTTCGAAAAGCCCAAACCACCAAAGGGCAAGCAGGTAAGGCTATTTATCTTGTTAGCAGGATTTTCAAGAACGAAAGGTTATAATTTGTAGTCCGAAGCTCATTTCGCTATGAGACATTACGCCGGAACTGTGCGATACAATGTGACAAACTGGCTGGAGAAGAACAAGGACCCTCTGAACGATACCGTGGTACAGGTGATGAAGAACTCGAAGAAGAACGCGCTGCTGGTCGAGGTATGGCAGGATTACACTACCCAGGAAGAGGCCGCTGCTGACACTAAAGGTATCGTTACGCAAGGGCCTTGATGAGTGGTTGTCGCTTGATTGTGTCGCTTAGCACATCCAGGAGGGAAAAAGAAGGGCAAGTCCGGATCGTTCATGACGGTTTCGATGTTATATCGTGAATCGCTGAACAATCTGATGACTATGCTGAACAAGACACATCCACATTTCATTCGTTGCATCATCCCGAACGAGAAGAAAGCATCAGGTTAGCTTTTTTTGGAAACGAGGGGTGCGGGCCAATTCGCACGACCGTAGGCAGTTTCCGCGCAGGACCATGTCGCGCGCGACGAATTGCGGAGGGATTCGCCGCGCGCGACGTGTCAGGACAAGTCAAACTAGCTGGCTGCTGGATACTGTCGTGCGAAAAGGCCACTCCCGCAAAAACCAAACCCCAAATTGGCTACTTATAACCTTTCTTCCAGGAGTCATCGATGCTGGACTAGTACTGAACCAGTTGACTTGCAATGGTGTACTTGAGGGTATCCGTATTTGCCGTAAAGGTTTCCCTAATCGTACCCTTCATCCTGATTTCGTACAACGTTACGCCATTCTGGCCGCTGATGAAGCTCTCATTGGCAAACAAGACGCCAAGGTAGGCGAAAATCGATATATCGATTGATTTCCGCACATGTTAATGCTGCTTGTGTCTTACAGAAAGGAGCCACAGAAATGTTAGCTCGTCTAGTGAACGAGGGTAAACTTCAAGATGACAATTTCCGTGTCGGTCTCACCAAAGTGTTCTTCAAGGTGAGAAAATTATTTACAAAAATAAATAACAAGGGAAAATAAAATGACTTTTTAGGCTGGTATCGTAGCCCATCTTGAAGATCAACGTGATGTTCGTTTGGCTGAACTTGTGACTGGATTCCAAGCTCAAATTAGATGGTACTACCGTTTGGTATGTTTTTTTCGCACACTTTACCATAAAATCCGTTCCTAAGGTATATTCTGCAATTACAGATCGACAAAAAGCGACGTATCGAAAGAAATGAAGCTATGAAACTTCTACAGAAAAATGTTCGCCAATGGGCTATGCTACGTACATGGTCATGGTTCAAGCTTTATGGCAAAGTAAGGAGATATAAGCGCTAAATTCTAACCCACTTGACTTTCCCTCTTCTCTAGGTCAAGCCACTTATCCAATCGGGTAAAATCGAGGAACAGTATGAGAAGCTGCAAGAGACCGTAGCCCAGATGAAGGAAGCATTGGCCCAGCAGGAGGAGTTGTCCAACCAAATCGCTGAAAATGCGGAAAAAGTCCAAAAGGAAATCTCTGAGCTATTGTCACAGCTTGAAGCTACTCGTGGAAGCAATACGGTAACGTAAAAAATATTACGAATTTTTGCATTTTCTAATACTTAAAAATTACAGGAAATCGAAGAACGCATGATGATGATGAATGAGCAGAAATCTTCACTTGAGGCAAAATTAGCTGAAGCTAAGACTCGTCTCGAAGCTGAAGAAGCAACGGCTGCCGAGCTTTTGAAGGAGAAGAAACGTATCGAAGCTGAAGCCGCTGAACTCAAGAAAAGCTGCCAGGTAAGGTTTTGCACTGTTGGGGAAGATACAAGCAAGTTTTAGTAACTGGACTAACGTAAAAATGAGAATGTCAACGAAGGCAGCGTCTAGAGTTTTGCGCGTGCC